AGGTGTCAGTGCCAAGCAGGTAAAATTAAATAAAAGATGTTTGCTGTTAAGGTGTACGATGTTGTCAAACATAAATGTAGATGGGTTAAGTGTAAGTTAGTTATGCTAAAAAAAGTGTATGTTACTTAAAAAAAAAATGAAGACGACTTGTGTTACTATAACAACGTAATAACATAATAATTTTAGTTCGAACATAAACAAAAAAAATAATTTAATTTCAGACCATTCCTTATTGATGAAACTTTCTCAGATATAAGACAATTTAGGAAGTGTCTGAATTTTTTCCGTATATAACCATTATAGCTTGCCATCCACTTAGTACGTGCATGAGATATGAGTAAGAGGTAGAGTGTGTATTGTATTCCGTTTTTATTTGTATTTCAGCAGAGAAAAAGCTTCTTTGTATATATATATATATACAAGTAGTATACAATAATGACAGTATGGAAACACGCACAGTTATACGAAGCCGAAAAAATACCAGTGAATCGGGGCTGTTCATTTATTTAATTACATCGGTGCCACCCTCAATGCGCTGTGTACAGTTGGTTTTTCTATTAACATTCCTTTAATGGCTTGACGTCGCACATGAGATTAGTGTCCGACAATAACAATACTGAGATTTGATTTGACAAAAAGAACACCCTGGGCCGCAGCGTAATGTAGGTACAATGTCCCCTAAATAATTGAGCGTCGCTGGCATAACCCGCACGGTATCGCGTATGCGCTTGGGCACCCACATACAGTACAACGTAAACATATATACTCCACGGATACTAATCAAGATGGCAGCGCGTCGTTATCATAGCAACAATTCCAATTACTTGTGCCGTTATATTGAAATCAATCAATCGCTATGCTATTATCTTTTGAAGGACATTTTCTTTAATGATCGTCTACGCTCGGTTGAGTTTACTAGTTTGCCTATTCTTTCTGGTTTTTTTCGTTGCTAGAAAACGAACTTACCGCGCGAAGACAATAGTACGTATACCTATTGTCTGTATCAGTGGTAGGAAATGTTGTAAAGCGAAATAGGACACATTTCAGAGCTGGTCTTGTGTCGATTTTATTTATTCAATGTTGGCATAACAGTGTCGCTTTTCATAATCTCGACAATTCACACAGCGAAGTAACGTAACACAAATAAACCCGTGTTTCGTCAGCAGTTGTTATTTTGATTTGTTCATTGATCAGTTGCCCTCTCAACAACGACTGACAAGCTGTAATATATACCCCGACGACGATTCACAGGAGTCATGGCAAAGCAAACAGTGCCCCCATTGATTGCCGGGAAACTACGTGTTGAAAAAATGAATTTGATCTAAAGTTGTCGTCCGGGAGAGGGTCTTTAGCAAATGTCGCTGTTTGTGGTGTCAATAGTGTCGTGACAATTGTTTGATTTTCAGTTTCCTGACAATTAAGCATACACGCACAGAGAACGGTATAGATAACACTTTTCTCAAGTGCTATACAGTCTATCGTCACCTGGGCGCAATATTGTAATTGGCTCGGCCGGTCTTTTAGACAACTTGGTGTGCGGCCTACCTGTTGCACGGCAGTCACGGTTGTAATCTATTTTCTTCACACGTACTTTTGTATTGGGACAATCGATCAAATGATCTTGACGCTGGTACCAGAAATTAACTTAATTGTTGATGGCCACTTTGATTGAACGATGCTGGCAGTTAGTTGTCACGGCGGCGTTCATGTGTCAATATCAATCGAAGTCTGAGCAACCCCGGGTGCTGAACTTTTGCATATTATATAGCACAGTTGCGGGTATCGCACGCGACTTTTGCGATTTTGTTTTCTTACCATAACGCTTTTTTACGCGCTTTTGTGTTAGGTTGAAAAGAAGATAGATTCAGTTTCAAGCTGGTGTAAGATATTGTTTACCTGGAGTGAACATACGCGGTGTTCGATGCGTTGACAGAATTTGCCAGCTCATAATCCCAGTACGTGCCCCATGTCACAATCGTGCTTAAATAACCAATATTTCAATGTTTCCAAGCAACTCGGCAATCAGTTCGCAACTTTTCACCATTGTCGGGGTCAGGCGAGGTCAGAACGAGAGATTGTCTTGATAAGAATCAATATTATCCGTTCACTGGAAGATTTCAATTTATCGCCCACTCCTAAATTGGCCTCTTATATTATTTATGTTATTTCGTTACAGTTACAGGTCGTGATGAAGTTGTTTTAATTACCACGGTAGATTGTCAATAACTTATGCATATGTGCTAAAGCTGTGTCAAGTGTTTGAAGGCCAACTGTTTTTATCTGTTGCTGTCAACCCAACCCACAAATTTCAATTACACATGGCCAGTTTACTCACCGTCAGGGGGTAACTTAAGGTTCCTGATGTCGTCCTCGTCAAATGCTGTAAAATCGTTGAAATCTCCAGATTTCACCGTCTCCCTCAGACTGGTCCCAAGTTCGCTGAGTACTGGTGGTTTGTCAGGTCCGTGTAACATCACATCGACCCGTTTAAGCACAGCAATTGTGTTTTCTCGGTACAACTTCATTGAGTCCAGCTCCAGGTCATCCATCAATTCCAGATTGGCTAGCTGGTCGCGCTCTTCCCTGTCCAACTCCGCCTCCATGTATTGTGGGTTCTGGGTAGGATCACCGGATGGTTCTATCACAGTGACTTGCCCGTTGTTACTGGTGAACTGCATGTTAATCTTTCGCCTGCGTTGGTTGTAGAATCCCCTTGGTGATGGCTCTGGCGATTCAAGAAAAGTGTCAGAAGAAATATGGGAATCTAAACTTAGACTGTCTTTTCTTTGGTATCTCCCTTTCTTCTGATATATTTTCATCCGTTTTCGATTGAATCTATCAGCCATATTAGCATCACGCGTACTTCTCGTTATCTCACCTGCTAAATGATAACCCCTCTCTGCTCGGGGAGCAGAAGTAGCGCTCGCTTTACAGTCCTTATCATCAGTAAGTTTTTTGGTTGTCTTAGAGTGGTTTGTAGGGTCGCCAACAGAACTCCTTAAAACTTCTGCACTCACCGATTTCTTAGATTTCGACCACGAATCCAGCGATGATCGAGCAGAATATCCCCCATTATCGGCGAAACGCACCTTACTCTTATGCAGAACTCGACCTAGCTGGCGCTTTGATTCCACGTCCTCGATATGACTGTCCATGTGTGAACCGTCGTGGTTGATTGGCAATAGGACGTGTTTCCTATGGTACACATCGGGCATTCGTGGTTCCTGGGATTGCCAGAATTCCTGGGCTAAAGACTCAAGGTTCTTGTAGTTTGCTGCTCCTCGGCGAGCCGCTGCCTGCCGTTCGTTTCGGAAGCGGGCGTCCTCTAGCAAACTGTCAGTGAACTCGGTAGAGATGCTGACCATTGCGGTAACTTTGTTATACGTCGATCCTGGTAACACTGTAACTCAACACAGCTACTAAACACGTTTGTCCTCAGTGGCGCAGACTGGTTTAAAAAGTTGCGACGAATCTTCTTAAAAGTCGACCAAACTTCCCCGCTCAACTATTCTACTAAGAAATCAGCGTACGATGCCATGTCCGATCTCACATCGCACGATCGCTGACGGTACTGAATACTGTGCGTCACCGTTGACTAGTGGTCTTTGTATCGGTCTCCGATCCAGTGACAATTCAAAATCCTCGACACGTACAGTGGCAATGCAAACAATAGACGCGTCTAACAACGGGGGTTGCTGGGTTCATTGGTATACTGACAGTAATATACGTGTCTATGCGGTTCATAAACATTCTTAAAAGTCTTAGTTTTACGACGTGGCGTTAGAGTTTACTATCAAAGCATGCATACCTCCACGATCAAAGCAAATCTATTCGAAATGCATGCATTTGTTTCGATTACAATAATATATTTCAAATATGTATATACATCGTATTATTTGTTTAAATACTAGTAATTAGGGACAAACTTGAACCAGAGCCGAGCCTCAATAAATATACTTATATACACATATCTCCGTTCCCGCTATTTTCCATCACGTATACGCAATTTCTGTTGTTAACCAAATTATTTTTGTATGAAAATGCGAACATAAATACCCAGTAACAGTAATAGCAAGTGTCTAATGGATATGCCCATCGCTCAAGGCGTAAATAAATTACAATGGTTTGTACTCTTGAATGGGTCGCTTTTTTTGCAATTTCTAAATGGTAAATCTTATTTGCTGACCCATGAACGAGGTCGTGTTCTTGTGTACGAAAGTGCTCATTACTTCATAGACACTCAAGGATGACATCCACAAGCAATCGAGTCAAGAGCTACCATTCTTGAAGACAATTGCGTCGAGGGCGTGTATTTTCGAGAACTATCGTATAAAAGACTAATTTTGCTTCGCGTCAACATGCCGTATAAAATGTTCTCTACTTGGGGGGGGGGGGCACTCGATTTATTATTTAATCATGTGCATCGATGAATAATTAGACGAGACGGTGAACCACCACGTCGGCTTTAATATGTTGTAAAAGACTACATTTTATGACAAAATCTTCAAAACCCAAGTTCGTGTGAATACAAAAATAAGAACATGCCCAATACGAAAACATTGGGAATTACATACGTCTAACACTTAAAGTTGCTATAAATCGGGGTCTTGGAACTAGTATGTAAAATATGTGATAATCTGAATAATCCCACATTGCGGGAATATGCAGTAAAAGTTATATAATTTTCATCGATTTTCAACAATGAGTTCGTGAGCTCGCATTCGTTTTATACATACTGTTGCCTTCGACACGGGTATTGCCTCCGTAACAATGTATTGACACTATCGGTTACTAGTTAAAGCTAAATGGTTAACATGATATATGTTAACACAAATGTCACGTGACATTTCCGAATATTCTTAATAGATGTAATAATACATTTGACAGTTTTCTGGGTAATTATAGATATCATGCATTAAAATATGTTTGAAATTGATTATTGTTATTAAATTATGCATGCAATATATTACATAGTGTCAGTCATCTAACTGTGAAGTCATCTACTAATGTTACATGCTGTAAATGTCAGGGTAAATTGTATCTGACATGGTGGATATATTATACGGTGTGTTGTGCGCATGTCATGGTTTGTTTACTTGACAACCAGGTAGCTAGGCTGCCATGTCAATGGCGTAAGTATGTCACCCCGGGTTGTTTTATTATTGCCTATTCTGTGGCCGTGCCGCCTCAGAGGGTGATGAATGTTGACATCGTGCCAAGAATGTTAGATGTACACCGTTCCTATTAGTGGCGCCCCTATCGACAGAACGCTTCTATTTCGAAGTACCAGTACTAGTATAAGTAATTGCAACCTTTGTTTGTTTTTATTAGTAACTGAGTGGCATATCGTTCCGCAAATAACACTATCTTCTTTAAAATATCAAGCAGCTGGCCGGGATAACTGTTTTTGACGAAGGACTGTGATTTCTCATTTGAGAAAATTAAATAAAATTAAAACCACTGTAGTTACATAGAGTGTTCGTCTTTTATAAATATTTGTATAGAGTTTTTCACCACATGGGTATATAAATGCTCAATTTTGTTAAGGCTCAGTGGCACCTTTCTACTCAGTTTTAGGTAACTAGTGTCCCAGGGCTCCGGGAGTCCACTACTCTGGACGAACAAAGAGCGTTATTTGAGAAGATATCGAGGTACCCGGCTGAATGATACAGTGATATGTCAAAGCTGGCCCGGTACATGTACGAAATATTAGAGCGCAGTATTCGTACAACGGCTAACTGTCTCAAATTCATTTTGAAATCTAAGGAAAAAAAAGATGCAACTTTGCGATATTATGTATGTGATACACAATTGTGAATGTAGGACGCCCTCAATAGACATGCCGAGAGTATCACTGTCACTGATATCATTGCAAAGTCGCGTTAGCGAAATTGCAATACGTCGAGAATTGGGATTATTAAATTTCGCTCGGCTATTTTCTGGCTGCTTCATAGTGACAACTACTCTCGTCACAACAACATCGTTCTCTTCAACTCTATAAATGTTTCAATATGAGGTAAATCCAATTATTCAACGAGCGTAGTTAGCAACGACACTGACGTCATTTGAAAACATTCTAGCATTATTCAATATGACAATAGAAATCTCTCGTTTCAATTTTAAATAATTATAAAATTGAAGGAAATGGGTTTATTGTGCCGATAGTATACTATTTTAAACATCATTACAATATATTGAGCGATGTTTGGCTTCAACTTATGGTGGCGCTATACACTCAGTAGGAGATGAGCGACCCAACAATATCAGATGCTATAAATACATTACGAGTGTAGTAATGTCCACGTGTGAACTGTCGTGGTTGATTGGCAAAAGAATGTGCTTCCTATGGTGCACATCGGGCATTTGTGACATTTATCATATACCTCGTTTTGCTCGGTCTGGTAACGCTATGAGAAGTGCGCCCTCACATCGGGGAAACGATTTCCCGTATCACGCCCTATTTTCATCATTCAAAACAAAAGGCGTCATTCTAAATTACGTCGTGTGTTTGAGGTCACGCTGCGGTAAAATTGTAGTTACACCTATGAGTTATATGATAAAACCTTTATGGATTGAATTCACAACATCAGGCGCTTCTGCTGCACGACCTCAGGCCACAAAAGCCGTATCCAGTCCATAACGAAAATAATCGCCAAAATGGTACGAGTTTATTCAACTTGAATCATAGAGTCACGAATTTGATCTCAAGTTTATTCCATATATCCGTTTTTTTTGCAGCTTCGCTAATTAGTACACCGCTTAATTATTAAACACGTATTAAACACTGAATGTAAATTACGGAATATCATTACGTCATAAATTTATTAAAATTTCAATGACTGTAATTAGTTAGATCATGCATAATTAGATTGACATCTATCCCACACTAACGAATAATATAATCAAAGCAAATAAACTGTACTCAACATGGAATTCTTGTGTCGTACGTGTCGAGTATTTTTCCATGACCAACAGACATCATGCTTTGTATTTAAGTGTTTTGGGGGTGCACTCGACTAAAGCTTGGGAGCCCAACTTTGAAAATGGGAATTACATTTTACCCCAAGCACGTTTTGCTGAATGTAAAATAACAACACGTTGCACGTACTAGTGTTGAGAAATTATTGCCCTAAACAACGGTGACGTGAATATTTGAACTAATCGAATTGTTGGGCGCGAGTAGCTAGGACATCTGGCAAGATGATTGACGTAACTGGAAACATCTTGCGCAGTCGTGTTTTATTTTTGATATTGAGGAGCCTAAAAGAGTTTCTTTGGGAGTACTATAGGTATTTGAGCGTGACAATTTATACGTTTAAACATTCAACGTGCCAGGCCAAAATATTGTTCCGTCTTTGATGGATGTGTAACCGAAACGGAGGCTGGTAGTTTTACTTCGCTATATCGGTTTATATCGGTGATTTGTTGATGTATTGTTTTTGTTTTATTTGTGGATTGACAAAATCTAAATACGCCATAATGGTTAGAACAAAAAATCATCTAACAATGATTGCCCTTCCAAATCTCAAACAAGACTTTTGTGGTCACATTCAACATACAGTTGACAACATTACACACAATGAGAACATTTCTGAAACGAGAGCCTACCAATCATATAACACCTTACTTCAAGGGAGTACGTAATGAGCGCTATGGTTGACTGATAGAAATGCCAAACGTCGTTTTTTTTTCAACTGCCAGAAAAGGTAAAAGTGAGTGAGTGGAACATAGGCCTTTGGCGCAGGTGGCGCACTTCGGGTCCCTGAATATCGTCAAGTTAGGTAAGATTTACAACCGCGGAATCGTGATAACAGTAGTATTTTAATGCATTTATATCAGTTGTTAGAAGTGCAGTGAATATATAGGTAGCAAACTATAAAGTTTTACGTGTACAAGTAACATTAAAAAAATGACGCAATTTCATTTCGTGTTATGTTATGTTTTGTTTTTCGTCATTTCAGTAGATATACAAGTTTCTGGAATGGATTGATTTTAGCAGGCTAAGGGAATGCAATATCTTTCAGGATATTTGTCGGTCTAAATGATATTTATGACTTAGACATAGTAGTTCTTTGTTTGGTATTTCTATAGCATAATTATATATTATATTTTTTTGTTTGAATATAACCAAATAAAGATGACCAAATCTTAAATTTCATGGAAATAAACAATGTATTTTACACGCGTTGTATACGTCGCTATGAGTCCCATATCGAACAGGACGCCGCACGACGACTGCCGCCCTTTAATGAAATATTGTTTTAGAGACCATTGCATAGGAAAAGTGACCCTAGACGAGGCTAATGTCACATAAAATGCCATGTAAAAAGTAAATAGTCGCAATTTCGTTGAAATCGGCCATGTGATGGGAACTGTAGAACATTGTGACACACGACGCATATTACCATGGGAGGTGACACTTAAAATCAACAGTAAGAAGCTTAGCCTCTCAGGATTCCGACGCGTATTCGATATGCCCACATTTTGACCGTTACAAATTGACAATAATGACACAATGTTTTATTAAAATACAAATTAGAGCTATTGCTGCTTCAATGT